CAACAAGGGAATTGAATTCCATCCATTTTTGGATGGAATTCACTTTCCCTCATTTGATGGAATTGAATTTCATCAGGGATTCCAATTCCCTTGAAAAACTTTAACCAAACATGGGAAAGTGGTGGAATTGGATTCGAATTCGCTCTTACCTTGATTGACTCTAACTTGGGATTAAAAAAGCTTCTACCTTTTTGCTTGCTTTAGGAGTGAAAAAGAAGATTGAAGAGTATAGAAAATGGAAGAGTGTTTGGGAAGTTTGGTTCACGTAAAATCCTTCTATAATAAGGGGTTTTTATCCTTTAAAACAAGCTATGGTTAAACTACACTTTTGGTCCCTCTCCTTTTAATTCTAACTTAAAACCATCATTAATCGTTAATTCTTGGGTCAAACTTAAGCTCAATACCCTTTTGACTCAGTCCAAACTAATCTAGGAGATCTAATGGGCTCGACTTATGGGTCTCGGGTTGATCCAAACTATTGATCCAAAATTTGGGGTATTACACTTGGAAAATAAAGTCGTATACAGATTCAAATGTAAATAACCCAAATTAACACTATAAAAGAAGTAAGACAAATTAATTAATAACAAAATAAAACACTTATTAATATGAAAATTAGCCACATAAATCTGTTCGAGAGATTTGTACTAGGGGACACCCACAAGCTAACCTGCTTTCTAGGAAAACTAGCAGTCTCCAAGCACGTTAATTAATTTGTATTCTATATTTGAATATTGTACTTAAAATACTCGATTCAAATGTTGGATGGTGGGTCAACTTAGCGATGTATCTAACCTGATAGATAAACAAAAGTTTCAAATAATTTTATTAATTTTTTAAATGAATATTTAAATGAGTACTATAACCGAACAGGTCTGTAATGGTTTTTTTCCCTATAACGACGTTTTAAAACGCCACTAAAATCTTCCCAGCGTAATATATTTTGCAACTTGCATGTTGATTAAAATCTACACCCAATCATTAAAAAATGTTTTAAACTTTATTATTTTTAAAGTAATATTGATTAATGAATAAGTCTACTTGTGTTATAAATGCACTCACGATGAATAAGAAATCAACAAATTTAAGTAAAACAGTGGCAAATTCAAGTAAAGAAAATAAGAAATTCCAAGAAAATCAACATTTTTGAATAGACAGAGACATCATTTTCATGACCTATTAAGCTAGTTAACGTGTATGAGCGAAATTCCTTCATGTTTACTATAATTTTGTTTTTTAATTTTGAAAGACATGTTATCTTTTAATTTACTTTTTTAATTAATTATTGGTATTTAATTTGTCGAATGACTAATTTAGATTGGATTTTACAAAAGTCCATTATGAGAGCGATTATCCAGACTCAATTTGTTTTATTCGCAATTCAAAAACTTAACATTGCTTAAGGAATATAGTGTCTAATCCCACTAAATCATCCGGTTGTAAAATTTATAAAATTATTTTTGGTGTTTTATTTGTTTTATGTAAATTATTTTTAGCACGGACCAAATGATATCAGTTGTTAAAGGGATGGTTGTTATCTCTAGAGGCTTCGAGTTCGAGCACCAACGACGGTTGAAAATCTTCAAGACAAATTCTGCCACTTTTAATCACCATCACTACAACAAATCAGGTTTTTAACGGCGATTTTAAGCGCCGTTAAAACCTTCCCGGCACTAGTAAAAGCGCCAGTATAGCTGGCGCCGCAATAGTTAGTGGCGTTTGTAAACAAAAAATACAGCAAAAGGTCAATATCTATAGCGACATTTTCGATACAAACGCCGCAAAAGGTCAAGCTTTGTAGCGGCATTTTAGAAACAAACACCGCTGATTACCTTGTTTGTAGTGGCCTTTATTTTCTCAAACACTGCTATATGCTATAATATATAACGGCGTTTGTAATAAAAAAAAATGCCGCAAATATGTAAGTCTTTAGTGATGTTTTCTTCACAAAACGTTGCTATGTTTAATTTATTTTGCATATATTATTGTCTACTCTATATGACCTAAATTTAATATCAAGTAACATTATCTACTTAACAACAAGCTTAAAATTTAATTACGACACAAATTATGAAGAAAAATAACGTACTTAACAATAAAATAAATTAAAGTTGACATTAAAATTACATGTAATTTAGTTTAAGATTGTTCACTAGAATTTAGTCTAGGTTATTTCTCTTTCAATTAAAAAACATTGTCACTAAAATAAACACTAAAATAAATTTAAAAAAAACACATTCTTCTGACTTGCATAAACGTGGATCACATCAGGCCACTTTAGTATCAAACAGAGAGTTTGACTATAGTTAGGGTTCCCAGTCAGCAATTACTTTTTCTACGTTTAGTTAACATAAAAGAACGAAATTTTATATGAACGCAATTCTAGCAGTAGAATTCTCGGCCATGGCTTATATATTTCAAACTTTGATGTTTTACAAAGTCATGGCAGGTAGCTTTGATTATTGCAGTCCGTTTTTATCATCTTCCTAGCCGACACAATTGAATATACAATTAAAAAAATTTATATAGATTAATGGCGGCATTTAGCCGAACGGTTTGAATCGGAAAGTTTCATGTATGAAAGATTTTAAAACCATATATGAAAGCAACAACTTCATCTAGAGGGTTTTCAATTTAAAATATTTGATGAACATCAATAATTTATTATCACTGCTCTCTGCAAATCCATACTATAAATGTGCTTTCTCGTTTGATTTGAATACCCAAAGAATACAAATAAGCTTAAGAAATGAAGTCCCCGCAGTTTTCGATACTAATCCCTCTTGTTTGGCTGCTCTCTTCTTGTTTTCATCGGCAGCTTTGCCTCATGAAAATTTTCTCCACTGCCTTTCCCTTCGTTCAAATGATTCTTCTTCCATTTCCAGAGTGATCTTCACACGAACAAGTTCTTCCTATGACTCTGTTTTGGAAGGTAGGTTATGGAATCTCAGGTTCAACACAACGGATACCCCAAAACCTTTGGTCATTGTAACCCCAAGGCAGATATCCCACGTTCAAGCCACGATTTACTGTTCCAGAAAGCATGGGTTGCAAACAAGAACTAGAAGCGGCGGCCATGATTACGAAGGTCTTTCGTTTGTCTCCAGAGTCCCATTCGTCGTCATCGACTTGGTTAACTTCCGATCAGTGGATGTCGACGTAGAAAATAAAGTTGCATGGGTTCAATCCGGTGCCACGCTCGGTGAACTTTACTATAGAATTGCAGGGAAGAGTAGAACTCTATCCTTCCCAGCTGCTTTTATCCATACAATTGGCGTCGGTGGCCATATTAGTGGTGGAGGTGTCGGGTTACTAATTAGAAAATACGGCACTGCCGGTGACAATGTGGTGGATGCTCAGTTGATCGATGTTAACGGAAGGATTCTTGACAGAAAAACCATGGGGGAAGATTTGTTCTGGGCGATTCGAGGCGGCGGTGGCGGAAGCTTTGGGATAGTCCTGATGTGGAAAATAAGTCTTGTTCCCGTTCCGGAAACCGTGACATCATTTTCCGTCACCCGGACCCTCGAGCAAAATGCAACCCAACTCGTTCATCGATGGCAATACATTGCTCATGATCTCCCCGATGATGTGTATCCTTCCATTATACTAAGAAGCATCAATTCAACTCAAGACGGGAGGAAAACAGTTCTAGCGGCCTTTAATTCATTGTTTCTCGGCACAATTGACGAGCTTCTTCCACTAATGGAGCAAAGATTTCCCGAGCTTGGACTGACAAGACAAAATTGCACTGAAATGAGTTTCGTCGAAGCCATTATCTTAAACAACGGAATCCAAAACCAACCCTTGGAGATTCTGCTTAATGCGACTGCCAGGGTCCCCATTGTCAGCCCAGCCTACAAAGTCAGAGCCGATTTCGTAAAGGAACCCATCTCTGAAACCGGACTGAACGGCTTGTTTTCTCGACTCACCGACGATGCTGCCGCAATGACCATCCTAGTCTTCGCCGCATACGGCGGAATCATGGATCGGATTCCTGAGAATGCGACACCATTTCCGCATAGAGCAGGAACTTTATACCACATCTTTTACGACGTGGGTTGGCAAGAAGAAGACAGCATACACTCCCAAAGATACCTCGACTGGGCTCGAAGGACTTATGATTATATGACTCCTTTCGTTTCGAAATCTCCACGAGCAGCTTATATCAACTTTCGGGATCTCGACATTGGCTCCAATAATATAGGTTATACGAGCTATGCACAAGCCAGGATTTGGGGTCGGAAATATTTCAAGAAAAACTTTGATAGATTGGTGCAGGTAAAGACAGAGATCGATCCAGAAAATTTCTTCAAGCATGAACAAAGCATCCCTCCTTTGCGAAAGGTTCATTAAGGAAATCAAGTGCAATAAAAGGTCTACTTACAAATAAGATTGCTAAATAAAGATTTTTGTGGGAGTTTCTCTCTCAATCTGTATTTGATACTCCAAATTTAATGCAAATTGAATAAAGTTCAAAAGTGATTTGTGCTTTATGCCTTAATTTAATTCTATTGCAAGTCATCTTCCCAAAACAAGAATATTCAACTTCTATTCGGACTAGAGTACTTCACCAATTCTATTGCAAAAGTCAATTTACTAGCAAACTTTGGAACCAAATTTAATAGTTTCTTTGACCGAGTTCTAACCTAATATATTTATTATAGTTTATGTTCAAACATACATTATCCTTCAATTTTAAAAAATTTATCATGTTCTTTTATATACCAAACTATCGTCATCATCACGAGATGTCTACCTTAACTGTACAGATCTCCAATAATATAGGTTATACAAGCTAAGAACAAGCCGGTATTTGTGGCCGTAGATATTTCGAAGATAAATTTGAAACTGGTGTGTGTGAATATGATTAATTAAAGAAATCGAGTACAATAGAAGGTTTAGATACAAATAAAATTGCAAAATAAATAGATGTGTGTGTTTCTTTATATTGTCTAAAATGAAATTAATTATATTTATTTTAAAAACTTGTAATCCTACAAAATACAGAGTGAAAGGCTGAAATCAAAATGAAAACGAGCTAACCTCGTCGGCTTTCCATAGCCCTTCTTCATACCGGTACCACCTCATGAGCCCTTCATCGTTTCTGGTACACCGACACATGATGCACGAGTCTTTCATGCACGTCACGAATTCATGTAACCGAGATGCCTTGTCTACAATCGACTGATCGAGCTCCCTCATAGCTCTTCTAGGAGAAGGATGAGGTGGTATTTCTATAACAAGGCAATGAGATATGTTAAGAACTTCTAGGTTTCGTAAGCCGTCCAAGATGGAGATCAGGGTATCCTTCAGAAGCATCGAGCAGCGGAGGCTCAGAACCCTAATCTTCGGTAGATACATTATTATGGTAGCAGCAAATGAATAGTCCAAAGGTCCCATCACCTTGAGTTCACTAAAATTTTTGCAATTATTGGCGATTTCTTCCATGATATATCCAGGGTTCGCTATGCTAGGCATTGTCAGGGATTCGAGATCCTTCCAGATCCGAATCGCTTTGCATATTCCAGTCCTAGTTACTCTGTTCCAAGCCGGCATAACAAGCCGTTGGAGGCACGGGCACCTGCGGCGGTAAAGAAAAACACGAGATCACCTTCCAATGCATGCACCAAGTGAAAAAAATCTGATCCGTGTGTAAAATTCAATTAAATTTACCTCTCGGCAGTATATGTCAATTGCTCATCGCTGACGTACAGATTGAAGTGAAAAATCAAGGTCCGTATGTTTCCCTGGCTGAGGCTCAAAGATGTCTTCAACAAACGAGTCAACTTCTCTTCAGAACGATCATCTACAAATACGTAAGGCTCCACCGGAATATTGATAAAATTTGACCTCATCACCGATAAATCAAGTGTTTTCCAGAGCAGAGGATCGCAACAGGCCATGCGCCACGAACTGCAGACATGAGCAATGCCCGATGTTAACTGATCGATGTCGAGACACTGGAAGATCTTCACCAAGATATCAGTGTCCAAGTCCTCCCATCTCCTCGAAACACCCACACTTGCTTCCATTCCAACAAATTTTTCGCTATCTCCAACAAAGTTTCACAGCACACTCAAGCCTATATATTACAGACATCCACCATAGAAGGTTCAGTGTATTATATACATGAGAAAGAAGCTTCAACGTATACAGATATGCACCATAGAAGGTTGAGTCTATTGATCGGATAATCAATTGATATGTTTGAGTCTATTGATCGGATAATCAATTGATATGTTTGAGTTTATTGATCGGATAATCAATTGATATGTTTGGTACATGATTTCAAATCAAACATTCCATGATTCAAGCAGTCTAATTTGCCTACCATTTCTATATTACCCATAGTGAAAAAGATATGCTTTTTCTTTTCTTTCTTATCTGAGATTCACTGATCTATACATATTCAACAAGACAGTTACCTTAGGAAAAAGATAATCTGGGGATTCTTGCAACAGTAAACTTTGCCCTGTTCTTGCCCGAAACATCATCTGAATTTCCTCTGAGTGAGAATCCGATGAGCCACGGGCTTTTACGTCGTCTTAACCAAGTGAATTGAATTCTTATTGCTTATCAACTCTTTTAAATTGAAAAAGAAAAGTCATTTTTATATAGTTTTGAGCAACTTCATAGAACTTTCCGATTAACGTTCGCTCGGTTATTTCGGGGGACAACGAGTATAACGTAGGGTCGGATGGACCGATCGTTGGGTGTCGGTTGTTTCCAACTTTCGATCACTTTGCTTTTGCTTAGCTTCTTTCGTGTCGGTTGTTTCCAACTTTCGATCACTTTGCTTTTGCTTGCTTCTTTCGTGTCGGGGTGTTCCCAACCTTCGTTTTACCTTCAACCATTCCTGGGCTTCGACTGAACACCGCATTTGCTCAAGCCTGGTGCTTAACGGGTCCGATTAAAGACCCAACTCAAATAGCCCGATATCCATTTACATATCGCGCTTGCTTTGACTATTTCAAAGAAGAAGAAGAAATAGGGTGAACTATGACCACCAACTATAGCCTCTTTTTACTTCGACCACATAGAAAATAAATTAAATGAAGAGGCTTTAAGGGGAGTCAAACTTGGGTCTCCACGACAGCAAATCGGCAGACTCAACCACTGCACCAACTCTAATTTTTGATATTATGATTACAACATTCAATATTTATTTTATTCTAAAATGAAGGCTAGAAAAATGAAAACAAAAAAATAATATATTTATACCGATTAGATTCGAATATATATAAAGGGTTAAACTAATAATTTATACTGGGTTGGGTCAGTTCGGTGATTTCTTAACTTAAACTCGGCCCCGCCACGATGATACGAATATATTAATATTTTAAAATAGTTAAAATAATACATTTATAATTATTTATTATAATTTAAATAATAAAAAATAATATATTTTTACCTTAAACCCGATCTGATTCGAATATATATAAAAAGGATAAACTAATATTTTATACCGGGTCGGGTCGGGTTGGTATTTTTTACGCGACCCTGCCCTCCTCCAAACTCGAAATTTAAAAAAATGATCCAATGATAACAATTTAATACGAATCCTATAAATTATTATCTTACTCCTTATATATATATATATATATTCAAATCAGATCGGATTTAAGGTAAAAATATATTATTTTTATTTAAATTATAATAAATAATTATAAATATAATATCTTAACTATTTTAAAATATTAATATATTCGTATAGGGTCGGGGTGGAGTCAGGTTTAAGGAAAGAAATCATCAAACTGACCCAACCCAATAGTTTAACCCTTTATATATTTTTTTTGAATTTGGTCGGTATAAATATACTATTTTGTTTTCATTTTTTTCTGGCCTTTATTATTGGATAAAATAAATATTGGATGTTGTAATCATAATTCCAAGAATTAGAGTTGGTGCACTGGTTGAGTTTGATGCTTTGCTTTCTTGGAAACCTAAGTTCAATTCACTCAAAAGCCTCTCCATTCAATTAAATATACAATTAAATATATTGAATTAATTTGAAACTATGACTAATTTGATAGATTATGTAAGTAATAAGGATTAAATCTAAATTAGACCAATTTTATTAACTGCCACATCAGCAATTTCGTTAACTCTTAACGGTTAATAGTCTTATTGATTGCATTTAAATAGTTGGTGGTCTGGTTGATAAAAATAGTGGTCGAAATGAAAAGAAACTATAGTTGAGTGGTCATTGGTATAGTTTACCCAAAAAAATATAACAATATACATAAAAAAAATTAGTTTTTGTATTGTCGGTATTGAGTAGGATTTATGTTGATTAAAAAACATTTTAAATATATATATAATCAAATAGAAACTTCAAACAATTGAAATTTGTTGGAAAGCCCTAATTTGACTTTATCACAATTTGAAAGAATATGTATAACACGAGGGGTAGGTCGAAGTTGAAATTCTTTGATTTGTACTACTTATATGGATCACAGATCAGGCAGAAAGTGACTTTCCACGGGCCTTAAAAATTAGAGGCTCTACACATAAATGTCATTTATATTTATCCATATTCTAATGATATTTAAATTCGATGACTGCAACTGGGGGAGTCGTTCGGGATTCACAAGGAGATTGGATTAACAGTTTCTCAAAGAGCATAGGAATCTGCTCGGTGTTGCAGGCTGAGCTACGGGCTCTACATGATATCTTGATCCTACCCTGGAACATGGGTTGAGGTGGAAACTGATTGCAAGTTGGCAGCGAATATTCTTAACAGGCAGAATAGAGAAATGGACGGAAATGCGATTGTTGCTCTGATTCATGAGATTCTGGATCGTGAGTGGGAAACGATAGTCAACCATGTGCATCACGAGGCTAATGCAGTAGCGGATCAGCTTGCGAAAATGCCTAAAGGTGGTCCATCGGGTGAATTTGTAACACCCATAACCCGTATAAGTATCGAATTACGAGTTAAAGATGTTATATTAACATTTCAGACATTCGTTGAACATAAATACTTAAAATTTCGTTTCGTTCTAAAACATCACTTTATCAACTTTAAATCTATTTTGTTAAGTTTGTATATTCATAAAATAATAATTTATCATTCAAAACAAATCCGATTTTACGTAGTAATTAGATAGTCCAGTGATGTTTCACAACTATATAAAATTGCCTAAATATTGTTTAATTTAAAAAATCATTTAAAACATAATATTTATACTATTCATTCATAAATACAATTATAACTAAAATTAGCCAAGATTAAAATAGTCCTAGTTTACTATTACATACCCATAAAAAATAAATCTAATAAAGCAAACCAACATATATAATGTACATGCCACTAATAAGTCAATGATAAGATGTCTAATTGATATTGTTAGTAGATTTGATTTCCAAAAGATGCTCGAAAAGCTCGTCACTCCACGTCCTTTTCTTTATTCGAACCTACGCATAAAAATTTAGTGAGACAATAATACAACTAAGGTAAAATAAAACATAAAATACCATAAAATACTTTAAGAAGTAAAAAGAATGTAATTTAAAGAAAAATTATTGAAACTTTCAAACGAGCTATTCAAGTCGATTTCCTCTTCAAAAACCTGAAAAATCAGCATTTTATCAAAACCATATAAATCAACATTGATATAATAACTATTTCGTATTCTTTTTCATTCGTACATAATTCAAAACTTCCCTTTTACTTTCATATTCTTTCCTTTCAAATAATTTTCTTAACTTTTTAAAATTATTGAATAGGCCCTCCTACTTTCACAAAATTATAAAATTGGTCCAAATAATATTATAAAGCTTGTAGAACCTTTCAAACATCATTTCTAAGCATAGGAAATTTTTTCACAATTTTTCCCAAATTATTTCCTTAGGGTCGAATATTAAAGGGTTAGGAATTCTTATTTTCACTTGATTCAAGTATGTATTCCACCTCTAAATAATATTTCAAGACCTCTAAATAATATTTCAAGACCTCTACAATCAAACCCCTAACTTAATTTAACAAAATCACAAATTCTTCAAAACCCTAAGTTTAGGCCTAACATGATTAAGCTTGATTTCAAGTGTTTTAATCACCACACATACTTTAGAAATAATCTATGACATCAAAAATATAATATTCTTCCATCAAATCTTCAAAATCAAACATGTCCTTCATAAACCCTAATCTTCAATCTCATCATATAAGCATGATTTCCATGTAATTTTTATACCAAATGATAGAGAATTTCAAGAGGATTAATTCTCTCTTTAATAGCTTAATCCAAAAACCAATCGAATAGGTTTAAAAATCAAAAATAAAATTCTTACCTTGTAGCTATGGTGGCACTACTTTAGTAAGAATAGGGGCTGAAAGTTATTTTCTCTTCATAATTAACATATACACTTGTATTAATTTAATATAAATGAATTTAAAATTCATTTAATTAGAAATTACCTTTTAACCTTATTAAAATATGATAATTTCCACTTTGCTATTGCTATAACATCATCCATGACACCATCTTATCTATATCATCTTCATAGTCAAAGATGAACAAATAAAAATTCACTTTCCACCTTTTCCCTTGAAATTTTTTAAAGCTACAATTTAGTCACTAAATTTTCAATTTTAGCTAAATATGAAAAATCGACTTCAATTCCACTAATCAACATTAAATTTCAATGTTCTACAAGTTAGAAATGATATTTCCGACCTTTATCTATCATCATTCAAATTTTTGTGAAATTCTGATTCGATCCGATTATCCAATTATATACTAAAATTTACTATCTTATAGCTTTTAATACAAATCTTGTACCAAAATTCTGATTCTCGCAAAAATATTATTCTTGGGGGTAAACTATTTATTTATGAGCCAAAATATCTAACTTTTGAAAATTATACTTTGGTCCCAAAACTTTTTCATTTATACTTTAGTCACTAAACTTTTAAAATTTACATTTTGGCCACTAACCAAAATGTTGGGTATTACAAAAGTCTTCTTCCAGACTCCTCCTTCGGAGGTTGTAGGTGTGTATGAACATGACCAAGCTCATATGTTTTAAGCCTTTTATATCCAATATTAGAAAGAAAAAAATAAATTTTTCATTTGATTCTCGAGAAAATGATAGAGAAAGTTGTAAATTAATATTTTGATTATATCTTTAATCGTTTTCATGATGAATTTTGGTAAAAGAAATCTCGTAGATCCCTTATAATTTTAAATTTGACAAATTAATCTTTATTATAAAATATTTTAGGGACCTCATTTTTAAAAGTAGCACAAGATCTCCACATCATTTGAGGCAGGTCTATCACAGATAAATACGTGCGGATATTTATTATCTAAAATTATATTATGTGAATGTAGATTCGATTTAATTAATTCAAATTATTATTTTTATTAAATTAAGTATTCATCACTATATTTTATCACTCTACCCATATTTATTTGTTAAAAAATTTAAATATATTTTTTAACGTAAAATACTACGCTATAAGAATAATATAATCCGATACTGTATAACCCGCCTAATCTTATTAGCTCTTTCATTTTGGCATGTGTATTCGGAAATGCTTGTAATGGACAGTTCAT